CCCCGCGTTTGTCTCTTGCACCAGTTTCGTGGATGAGGAGCAGATTCATTTTGGCCCAAAAGTGGCAGAGGAGACAAAGAAGAGCACAGCCGGATAGATTAATTGGTATTAAGTTAATTAGGGCGTAGCTGGGAAACCCCATTGGCTCTGGACCCCAGCATTGTTTACAGGGGTGATCCATCCTGAGAACTCAATCCTTGTTGACCAGCAGGGGAAGGCTCGCGACTTTTGGGGCGTTGAACAAAACCCGAACTTTGGCTGCCACGGTAACCAGCCTCACACAACAGAGCAAAGAGAATCGGTACACCCACTAGTAAAGAAGTGAAATCCATGAGGGAAGAACTCCGGTTTCCATGGCGATGTAGTTATTTTGTGCCATTCCAACGTTAACCTTGTTGTATTGTGAGGGCTTCAGCAGCGTCACAATGAGTGGACTTAATTGAATGATTCATTTTGTGGAAGAATCTAGATGTTGCTCATCATTTTTCTGGGTTTTAGTCCCAGTTTATTGGGAACACATTCTGCAACGGACAATCACGAAAACGAATAAATACAGACGCTTCCGTAATAAATCACTTCGGATGTGACGCTCTCCATCAAAACACCAAATAAGTGAGTATCTTTTGGAAAAAAGTTGTTTATTCTTGCAGTAGAACTTATACAGACTTGTTTAGGTTATAATGTCTCTAATGTCTCCACCGCAACACATTATTGTAGTTTGGAAGTTACATTTTCTTTGGAGAGAGTACATCCTGCAGTAAACCTTTGAGACAACTGTTTGAATAATTCCCAAAGTAATGTCCAAAATAACCCCAAAATTTTGGGGGGAGCTGAGGAGCGAGCGACTGGTTGGGTGGCTGATCGCAAAGCGGCATGAACGAGGGTCAGCACCTCCAAAATCAGTCCGGGGGACTCGCCCCTCTGAGGGGGGAACCACAGGACAGAGAAAAGGTTTGGCCTGAGGGGCTCACAGCTCCTGGTGAAGGAGTCCGACGGTTGTTGGACATTTCGGTGCGAATACACAGGGACGGCCCGAGGAGTTCGAAGTCCACAGGGATCTCGAAGTGGAACCGCCGTCCCCCACCCCTGATTGAAAGGAGTCGATTGAGGTGGGTCCTGATATCCAATAATGATGCCTTGCAGGTGGGATTATACATCCCGTCTGGATTACATATCCGGCCTGGGTTAGGTTTAGGGTTATCACCTACAGGTCCCCCAGGAAGGGCTGGAGGATGTGGGTAGGGAAAAGGACGTGTACAGGCTGCTGAGCCACTGCAACCCTAACCCAATCACTTGAACAGTGGCAAAGGCGGCGTCAGAGACGGAAAATGATGGGGAGGAGAAGGGGAGGCGCAAAATCGTGAGCATGGAAGCATTGGGAGTATGACCCAGTTACGCACAATGCCTCGAGGGAGGGGCAGCACAACTCCCGTACCGACACACGGAGGTGCACACGGGTTCTACGGGAGAGGCAGAAGACATGCTGAGGTTAGGCAGCAATGGCCAAGAAGCTGAGGTTTTTGCAACGCAGAGAGCGTGCGGTTGAGCAATGGCAGAACAGATCCGAGGCCACACACCCTCAGTCTGGTTTTTCTTTTGGCTTCCCATGACCTACATTCACCATGTCAGAGGAATTGGGGGCTTGCTGCACACGCGTTTCTCTTGTGACTGACAAGCAGCCAGCACAGAGTACCTTTTCTCTGAGGGCCCCCCCCCTCCAGAGGGCTGAGCTGTAACAACTGTCATGTATCAGGAATCAGGAAACATTTATTGCCAAAATATGTCAAACATACAAGGAATTTGTCTTGGCGGTTGGTGCGTGACAGTAGACAGTGTAACAATAGACAACAAGACAGCAGTGCACAAGTAATAAAATAAAATGCTAATGCAATGGGTTAGTAGAATATGCCACATATGAAGAGATCAAAGACGAAGAACGTCAGAGATAAAAAGAGAACAAACTTGCAGAGTTGAGTCCAACAGAAGGGCGCTCCCTCGGAATAACTTTCCTGCAGGGTAAAAACTGAGTGGTAATCATCAGAACAATGCGAGGGGCGTTGGAGGTGGCGAGGATGACGAGGCACTCATTTCTCGCGTAGTCACCGAGAGGCGTCGGCGTCCCCGTCAGCGAGCAGTTGGCGGAATCCCACTTTTGTCAGATGGGAAACATGTTGGGAGTCGGCCGTGACAGGTCTGCTGTTAGGGCCCTTTCACAAAGGAGGCGTATCGCTGTGGTTTGGTAAACGTGCCAGATTGACTCAAAGCCGATTCCCTCCCTTCAATCCTCATTACTGCTGCTTTATTGTTAAAAAAGGGGGACAATGGGCGAGGGGTGAACAAAGGGGAGAGGGGAGATGACGGATGGCAAACGGTTCCTCAAGAGAGATGGAGAAACATCTCCAATTCTAATGGGACAGGAGCGGGGCGAAAGGGGTCAAAGTGGGGTGAAGCCCTCCAGGGGATGAAGGACAAAGTGTGTGTGGAGGACGAGGGAAGATTAGGGGTTATTTGCACCGTCATGGTCCTCGTCTAATTTCCATAAATGAATCAGGGACGCGTGCCCTACTGTGTGCGTGTTGTGCCGGCAGCTGCTGTCTTGTTGGACAAAAGTCTTCGCTTCATGTCAGTGAGAAAGTGGCATCTAACACGTACATTTATAGTCCAAGAAAAAAAAAAAAAAAGCACGAGGCCACTTTGGATGTTGGACGTGTTTGTGTTTCTCCGCTTCAGAGGCTTTAACACGAGTGAAAAGTTAAACCCTGCACCGGACTCGCAGGATGTGCCTGGATGCCGTAATAATGTTGACAGACGACGGGTCTCACACGGCTCACTGGTGCATCTCTGTTCACCATTAAACCGAAAGTGAAAAGCAAGGAGACAAAGAGCTTCAAAAGGGATTTTTCAATTTGAGGGAAAGTTGTAGCAGCTACACATATTGCATTCTCAATTATTACACTCCCAAAATACTGCAGCTGCATATGCAGATGGTGTTTTATAATTGAGAAATGTCGTTGCTCCTTACTGAGCATGTTTATGGATGACAACAAATGTAAATGTTCCAGCACAGTGAAATACAGCCTGGACTGTTTCAGAAAGATTCAGGCTTTATGGCTTTGTTTCAGTTCATACTGACAAGCACATCAATTGTTTCATTTTCAAACGGGTTGCATCCAAGGAGACGTTTTTCTGCTGCCTCCACTGTTTGTCTGGTGCTGCCCTCTAGTGGACATATATGGTACCACTGTTTGTCTGGTGCTGTCCTCTAGTGGACATACATGGTACCACTGTTTGCCTGGTGCTGTCCTCTAGTGGACATATATGGTACCACTGTTTGTCTGGTGCTGTCCTCTAGTGGACATACATGGTACCACTGTTTGCCTGGTGCTGTCCTCTAGTGGACATATATGGTACCACTGTTTGTCTGGTGCTGTCCTCTAGTGGACATACATGGTACTTATAAACAGTCAGTCTGTTTAGCTTTTCATTTGCCTTCATGTACTGAGCTATGCAGATCATTTGAACGATTTTCTAACTCTGGATAATTCACAGAACCAGCTACCAACAGTTTCACTGCAAAAACATGTTGTAAAAATACTTTGTTACAAATAAACAAAAGGTTTTATTGCCTGCAGCTTACATATTAATGTTAACTGTATAATATTTAACCTCAGTCAGGATCAGATGGCACCCAAGCAGCAAGATAGCTCTTGAAAAACCGAATTGAAAAATAACTACCTGCTGTTGGCAGAATGGGCCCTATTTGTTACTTTTTGCACTACACTATTGCTTCTTGTGTGTAAAAGTAGGATGTCGTAGCATTGAAGTTAAAAAGTTGACTTGAAGACGCATACGATTTAAATGGACTGTACTTTAATAGCGCTTTAACACTTCATGTCATCATTCAGTCATTCACACACTGGCCACCTGCCCATCAGTAACTAGCATCCACACAGCTGCAGTAGCAAAGTTAAGTGTCTTGCCCAAGGGCACCTCGACACGCGGGTCAGCAGCACCTGGGATCAAACTGCGACTCTTCTGATTGCAGGACGTTTTCCACTCAGGTGCCTGAGTGTCAGTCCACAGTCAGTGTTTTTCATCACTTCACTGTAATTTATAGATTTGAGGAATGTGGCGGCATGTTTAGTTCTGTTAAGATTGGAATTATTCTTCCATTTGATCATTTCAATGATTCCTCACTCTTAAAAAAATCGGCACTAATACTTTCCGTGTGACGGAAGGCCCGATGTCAGAGCTCAATACACTCACAAGTTTCTTTATTGTTTCTGGCTGATTTTTTCATTTCATGAATCTTCTTGATAATGATATTATTATTCTTGGACTAATCCCGGTTTCATTGGTGCCAATAGACGGGCTGAAGGAGCATCAGCTTGGTAATCGCCATCACTTTCCACCGATGCAATTATACCCACAAAGCATCAGAACCGGACCACAATTCAGCAGCCCCTTCCTGCCAGGTGGCACTGCGACGGTCCTTGGGCCTGTGCCGGTGGACGGGAAGCAGGTGAACATGCAGACAGGAGCACAAAAAGCACCGTACCTTCTGTACCAGCACAACAAACAATAACATGATATAGGAACACGTTGTGCGGGACCTGATCTCACATCCGTTACCGGTCTGTCAGGAGCAGAGTTACACAAGTGTCCCAAAAAGCATTTGTTTTGTGCAGCACTCGGGGTGGACTCAGGTAGCGGGTCGCTTATACAACTCACCGCTCCTCGACTGTTCCACAAACTCCGCCATCTCACTTTCTCCCTCCCACAGCGGACACACAAGCTCCCACGTCCTCCCCCGCTGTATAAAATAGAAACCCCCCCACCGCCGACCCCAAACCCGTGGGGCGAGGCCAGATAGAAGGGGGACTGTGTGGGAAACAAGGGACGGTCTCTGCTTTCTCTTTGTCGCTTTGCCAGTCCAATCGCAGGCCTTGCTGCATTGTTGACTTGTACGGGTTTGATCTCCCTCCCTCTCCCTGTTCCTCCTCATCCAGCCTCACTCTCCTCCCGCCCACCAGTCGGTTCCTCCTCAGTGTTAGTGTGCCGTTGGGAGCAGACGGCCTAAAAAACCTCTCAAGACTTTGGCCTTTTTGTTGCTGCTGCATCTTCCACTCCTGCAGTTTCACTCGGTCTTGCAACTACAGTGAGTATTTATCTTTGCCGGATCATAAGTGGATTATATAATGTTGTTTTTAGGTGAGAGAGACAGTTAGACCCCCTTCCCCCAACTTCCCTTCCTTAACCCCCCGCAGCCAGGGAGAGTGGCGGACGTGCAGGAGAGATAGTAATCCAGAACTCAGATTGGGCTGAGAGATTAGTGGAGCTGCATGAGACGTGCAGCTGCTGTGGACAGCAGGCAGCACGATGGAAAACGCTCTGGATGAGGAGAAAAAGTGTCAAATTTGTTGTGCAATGTTTACCTGATATGAGACTCATTCCTCCCGACTGAGACACTCATTGTCCTGAGATATCTTAGTAAAACAGGTCAAACGCTTCTGGTCACTTTTGTCTGTTTAAGGGGGTCAGCTCGGACTCTAAGGTGCCAGAATCCACCATTTCCGTTGGCTGAGTGAGTGTGATTGTTTGTGTGAGAGGCTAAAGGACATCGGGTGAGAGGACACATTCTTACTCTTATTAGGATTTAGAATATTGGGATTGCAGACTGAAGAAGAGACGGTGCATTTTCTCTAAAACCAACACACAATGAAGGTACTACAGGAACTTTTTACTTGTCTGTAAACGTGCGTAAAAGAAGTTTCTACCTGTGGACAAAAATCAACTGTCATCCGTGAGGGAGACCGACCACAGCGACTTTGTCCAGAAAAGATACCAAACATAGACCCCCCCCACGATTGATAACAAACCATAGGCACACACTGATTGAACAGCAGAAGGAATCTGCTCATGGAGTTTTCCATCAGCAGAATGTAGTTCGTACCACGAGGGCAGGTGGCACCAGATACGTCCCCAGACAGGTGAGAGACAGGTGAGATGTCCTAGCTCACTGCAGACCTTCAGCGAGCAAACCTATTAGGGTAGTTTACCACATGCTGCTCACTCTCAACCGTGCACAACAGATGAAAAAATAATCTAGTTACACACCTATGCTTAATCCCCCCCCCCTCCCACATATGTTGTCTGACCCTATGACATCACTGCTGACATCATCCAGTGTATAAATAGAGGTAATGATTAGGGACTCCCCGCTCTAGACTGTGGGACACATGCTGAAGATGGTAAGTAACAAGAAGAGATCATGATTAACTAATAAAATGCATACGTGAATCGACTAAATGCAACAATACCGGTTTGACTTCAACTTAAGTAGTGTCTTCAGTGACCGACCATGATGGAACCGTGGATACACAAACCATGATGAGCATAGATTGATTTGTCACAATATTGCAGTGAAATATGAGGACAAACACGTTGACTAATGTAGTTTAATATAGTTAAAGGAACTTCTGCATTTCCCCATGTCTGAAATTTAATGATCACAATTTGTTTGTTATAAATGCTGTTACTGCTTCGCTCAAAGTGCCTTCATTTTAAAATAATTATAATTATATTTCAGTGTGTGATTTTTTTTTTTTTTTCTTTTACGTTAAACAGTGAAAGAGAACGAGTGGGGCAGACTCGCTAATAAGGTTTGGGAATGATCCAGACCCCTTTACAAAGACCTCAAAGAGACCTGATTCACTGTGAATGACATTAACACACTGACTCGGTTGCTTTAATTAAATGCAGACATGAATCATGGCACGATAGAACAAAACTACTGTTCCTACACCTATGAACTGTTGGAGTTACTGCCCTGCGTGGACTCCATTTGCATTTTAGTACTTTTATCAATTCTAGTAAAAGGACACTGATTGGGCTTTGCATTTACTGCACAACGCATCAGTTCACTAAACTATTTGACTGTATGCGGCCCGATTAGAATCCGTCCACACTACAGTTCTACTATCAAACCAAGACCATGATTCGCTTGGGAAGCTGCTGATTAGCGTCGTTAGTTTTGCGCTTTTTCTTCCCACCTGTTTCCAGATGCTCCAGCTGATTGCAGGGCGCGTGAGCAGCCTGGTGGCCAGGCGCGCGACACTGGCGCTGACTACCAGCAGCGCGAGGATGGCGAGCCACGCCCCCGACCCCGGTAACGTAACGAGCCCCGGTAACGTGACTGCCTCGGAGCTAGAAGCGCAGACCCCGCCGGTGTATCTGATAAACTCCATGAGAGGCGGGATTGGCTTTGTTTCCGTGTGAAATACCGGGTCAAAGTTCACCACCATGCTGGTGGCGTCGGATACACCGGTGTTGCACTAGATTCGGTGACACGTCAGATTTGGTGATTCAAATGAAGTATTTCCGCCATCTTGTACGGAAACGTGCTTTAAACGGTGGAAGGTCAATTTTACTCCGTAACGTTACTGTATTTAAGTACACATGTTGGGTACTTGTACTTCAAGAGTTTAGCAGCCAGTCTTATGTTTTACTAGCTTACTATGATGAAGCTGCAGATCAATAAAGAAATTAAAGTAATTTGGGGTGTTGCACCAGTAACCTGTTTTAAAGCGTTCCTTGAGATTGTCTCTAGAATTGGTACACTTGGGTTCCATCATTTAGTTTGCTGACCTACCAGAACCTGAGGCCTCCGTCTAAAGTGGCATCAAACCAGCAGATGACCCCGTGTCCCCCCATGACTTGGTGTCCATGTAGACTGGTGGTCCTTGGGGCCATTCCAAACCAGTATAGCCAGTGTTTTTTTTGTTTTTGTTTTTTGTTTAACTCTCGACTGTGTTCCTAAAGTGACCCTTCCCGTCTCTGTCCATCCAGAGGTGACCGAGGCAGTGGACATGTCTCGGCCGATGTACTGGGACCGTTTGGACACTCCTCTGCCTGACAAACTCTACAAAGACGAGCTGTCTGCTGCCGAGAAGAGCCTGAAGGAGAAGGAGAAGGGGCCGTGGAGCCAGCTGACCAACGAGGAAAAGATAGCTTGTAGGTCGTCAAAAATGAAAAGCCAGTTAATAGTGGCAACGATTGTTTTTTGGGGGGGGTTATTTTATTTTTAAACACCGGGTAACTGTGTTAAAAGTAATCTCCTTACAGTAAGTATACATCTAGGACTGCCAAAATGTTGCATTATATTTATTTTAAAAGAATATTATGATAAAATATAATTGGATAAACAGCCAATTAACCCCAAAAGGAAATGTTATTAATATTAAATCAAATATCTATTTGAAATTGTGTGCGGAAATTATGGAACCGGTCTAATACAAAATGAGCAAAAAGAAGTTGCACACTACATGGTTCAGGTTCTGCTACCAAACTGTCACCATGCTGCGTCACTCTGAACTTTTATCACTTTGTTTTATGTTAAACCCCCAACACCCCCCCTGCAGTGTACCGGCTCTCGTTCCATCAGACCTACGCAGAGATGAACCAGCCAAAGTCCGAGTGGAAGACCGTCGTTGGGGGCATCTTCTTCTTCGTGGGTTTCACTGCCCTGGTGGTCTGGTGGCAGAGAGTCTACGGTAAACCCGCCTCATTTAAATCCCATGATGACAACGTAGCTTTTTCTTTTAAACACCCACCTGCCCCCACCGGGACGGCTCTCGCTTGGTTTAGATCCTTTTTCCTACGGCAGACATTTTCACTTAACGTAGCAGAAAAGGTCCAGCTGTGACTAACGAAATTACCGCGGGCCCTGTTGCTTGGGGCGTCCCGAAGCGCCAGCAGGCATGAAACCAGAGCCCCCTTAATGCAATTTGGGCTTTTTGAGAGGTTTGGCGGGTCAAAATGGCCGCTGTGAGAACTTATGTCATGCATGTTTTTGAACATGTGTGCTGTGCCGTAGTCGTGTGCTTAATGTCTCCGCTCGTTGGCTGCAGTCTACCCTCCACGTCCCAGGACCTTTGACGACGAGTGGCAGGCCAAACAGCTGCAGAGGATGCTGGACATGAGGATCAACCCCATCGAGGGCTTCTCCTCCAAATGGGACTACGAGAAGGGCCAGTGGAAGTGAAGAGACGGCTGCAGCTCAGGGAGCACGGCTTCCTGATTACTGTGGAATGCGCCGTCATGCTGTCTCACTGTCTCACTGTCTCGTATGTTGCGTTGTAACTGATCAGACAACTATAAGGGTGCAGATTGACACCCCGAGCGGTCGTTTTTATTGAGCGCCTCCTTTCCGACCTAACCTCAGCTTATTATGATAAACCCAATAATAAAGTTTTTGCTCATACTTTTGTCACTCTTCCATGATCCAGAGCTCTGCTGTTCCACTTGCTTCAAAGGAAATTAAATTAAATTCAATGCAGGATTAAAAGGATGTTAAATCTGACCTCCGTAGCTTCAATTCATCAGATTTAATCCAGTGGTAATTTCAGGCTCTTGGCTGTTCCAAAAACTACTTTCTCAAATATACAACAGGGAATAAAATGAAGGGTGATAAGTAAAGGATGTCTAATGATAAATGTAGCCAAAATGTTTTTGTATTCACCGATCACTACCTGACCACATGAAAGCCAATATTATTGGTCATATTTCCTCCACACATGTTGGGAGGGTTAACCAGTGCAGAACTGTCTCCCATACATTTTATTTCCCCTCAAAAGTCTCCAGGGATCCTGTTTGCTCACATGTTTATTCTAGATGCAGATATAAGAACCACAAGCTTCTTTAACCCGATTGGTCCCTGTAGCAGCACCTCTGGGCCCCTGCTGGAGAAACGCTGCCACAGACAGTGAAAGGTACTCCGACTGTTTGTGGTCTGAATCGTAGAAGAGAAAATTCACTTAAGGACTGTCTTAGTTTTCCCAATTATTTGCAAGACTTTGACATCACACATTTTAGTTTTGATAATGATTTTGGCAAATGGGCGTAGATCTTTTAGAGTTTAGAGGAATATGTTAAAGCAACTTGCATGATAGAAGCTCTGGTTTAATTTTTCAATTCTACATTTTTGTGTCACTTGTTATATATCAGTAATGATCTGACTACCCCCAAAGTCACTTGCAACTATTCAAGGGGTTTAAAACACAACCTGAAGGCTGATTGAAATCTTAACTAGTTTGATTTTAATGACACTTTCTGTGACAGGAGGTTGACCTTTGTGGATTAGTGATAGAATGTAACCAGAGGCATTTACTAAACTAAACTTAAGTGCTAAACTACTGTTTACTTATTCTTGCCTCTAAATGTGTCAGCTGGTGGCATTTATATGAATAAAAATGTATATATTTGGTTCCCCTGGTACTTTAACTCATGTATATATTGCTGCTAATACTTATGAACATAAAGTACTTCCCTCCTGGTTTCTTTTTTGCAGATTTGTCCCTCGTGAATGTTTCAGGTCATCTAATACAACCAGAGTAAATGTTCTTAAATGATTAGATCAAGGGAAAAAATAAATCCAAACCTACTTGGCCTTATGTGAAACAGTGATTGGTCGTGAAACCCAGGAAGAGGGCAAACCATTGCTTCCGTCGCTAAGTAAACAAGACCATCAGCTGGAATGTGATCTTATTCTCAAAGCTCGTCCTCGGTGACCGTTTCCACACAGTTGAGTTTCCGTTGGAAAGTTTCTCCCGGCATGCACACATTAAGGAAAGGACACGGCGGACTCGGTGCAGAACCAACACTGGCTTTATTAGGTTCAATGTATTCTAGCATTGTACAACGACGTGGAGTCAATCTCTGTCTGTGTAACTCTTTATGGCATAAACATACATGGACCAGAATCCTCTGTACAATGATCCTCACACTTTGCAATGTTCTCGTGTGATGGCAGCCCAATCAATAAAAGAAAACGCACACACAATGAATGACCAAACACATCAATGCAGGTTTAACAGTTTAAGTCCATTGAAAGGAGGCACAATTGTGCTTTTTTTACATCATGTATAAATTATGTTTAAAAGCCATCGATTCAGCATGTATTAAATGTTACTAAGAAAATGCACTATTCTAATTGGTTTAAATATATATCTTCTATTCTAATTGGTTTAAATATACATATAGGGTTGTGCCAATGCTGTCACACTTCATTTGTGTGTCACTTTCAACAACCTTTTGACACGCACAGCTTCTTGTCGGGGTCTTTTCCGAACACTACAAAAATATATTTATATACTGAAGTGGAATGTGAGAGAACCGAGGCTCGCTGGAGATAACTGGAGTTTGTCATTGAAGGGTTGTTTTATGTCATTTTATTTGTGGGTGAAATATTTGATAAGGATGTAAATGATTGCGTGAAGACAGCAGCCCCCCCCGACAACAAACTAGTCGAGCTGCCAGTTGTTAGTCGGGCGACAAACACACCTCCTTTGACTGTCAGCTTGAAATTGAAAACAAAACCAAGAGTCCCCCCCCCCACATCCCTCCCTTCCTCCCCCCGACTCCGTGTGCACGGTAACAAGCGAGCAGCAGGTGAGCCAGCTGTGACTGACAGCCGAGGGATCGCAGAGGGCGGAAGAGGAGGAGCCGGATGGAGCGGTGAGGAGGAGGGGAGACGGATGGAGATCTGACAGGAATCACGACGTCTCGTGGTGGGGGGGAGGGATGGGGGGGCAATGGGGGGGGGGGGGGGGGGGGCGGTCTAACGTCTGTGCCGCTTTTCTAAAATGAAACTCTCCCGGACCTCCGGAGCGGAACCGCGTCGTCTCCTCAAAGCCTCCAGCTGTCATTGCTACGCGCAGCATCGGACTAATGGGGCTTACATCTAAAAAGGGAAGATTATTGAATTATAGCACAAGAGAAAGTCACCACGGAAATGAGTCCAACACTTCATTATTTTAAACCCACAGATCTTTAATTTGCAATTTTATAACATGACATTAGAGAAAAGCAGCAAATCCTCACATTAAGGATCCAGTGTATCTTTTGCCATTTCTGTTTGATAATTATTGACCAATTATCCAAACTGTTGTTAACAACGACTGCAATGTAGTTGTAAACCGTTATCAAGATATTTCAAGTTTCAATTACAACCTGGCATCGATAAGCGGATAATGAATGAACAAACAATATTCCTTTGTTCCCCAGAGAGCACCGACAAGCTGCTTTTTAAAATGTAAAATGTCCCACAGAGTATGGATTTTTATAGCTATCAGACTATTTAATTATCTAATCGAATGAAACGTCAAATATCCTAGTCGGTTAGGCTGTAATTGTTACATCTTTAAATCAACATAAAATGTGGTGATTTCTGTATGCTATTTATTCATTACACAGCCCTGTAAAGCTGTTGGTGGATATAAACGATTAATAAGCGACTAATATCACACTTTTGTTTGTTCACGTGTGTATATCAGACATTCAACTGCTTATACATCAGCTATAGTTCAGTTAGTAATTAACCGTAGTGTTTCAGAAATCAATTATCAAATGTCTGAACGTTCTGAATACTCAAATTAAAAATGTCACACCCAAACACTGCGTCTGCTTCAACATGTGCTGCTACACTTTCTGCTGCGGAACTCGCAACACGCCCGCACAACGGGGGTCGGGCCGTCGGCAGGCTGACCGGGCGCAGAATGGGATCAACGGGGTGCGGGGACGGGTGGGACGGAGGGGACAGGGGAGACGGGACGGGAGACTTCTAATGCTTCATGCATCCGAAACCAAAAACTCACCAACAAACACGGACGAGCAGGAGGAGTCACGTGTTTCAATCAATTGTGTGTTCAGACCCCTCATTGCTGCGCGCACAAAACCAATAAGCATGAAGGACGGGGGTCAAGGGTGAGGGGGGGGGGGGGTGCATGGCGTGTACGCGGTGGTGGGACAGCACCCTCCGTATGGCACACACGAGCAGCAAAAACAAGCTTAAGATCGCACAGGTGGAGCCGCCCGGGCCCCCGACAACACACACACACACACACACACACACACACACACAAACACATCAGAGGGGTCGGTTCAAGCCACAAACGTGGGGAGCAAAAAAAAAAACGAAGAAGGGTACATTTGTTAAAACTAAAAACATAAAGAGAGGAATAAAGGAACAGAAGTCTCTGGACAACCTCGGTCATCGAGGAGGAATAAGGTGGACTCACGAATACTAGTAGCTCTTCCTCCTCTCGGGGAGGATTCTGAGTCCACTGTGGAGTGTGAGGGACACGGGAGGGACGGGGGGGGGGACAAACAACAAAAAGTAAACATCATCAGCAGTTCTGACGAGACCTTCATTTGAACCTCCGTGGTTAAGCGTGGGTGTGAGGGTGATGGCGAGGGAAGGCAGGTGGAGAGGGGTCTAGCGATGGAGGGGGGGCCCGTCAGGCATCTCCCCCCCCAAACCCCTCACAGGCGTTTCTGGACGATGAGCGAGCCCACCACGACGCCGGTCACAAGCGTCATCCCCGCCAGCAGCCACTTCTTGAAGCTCTCCTGGGACCTCCGGCTCTCTGCTGCCGCGTCCTGCCCAAAGACCTCTGCAAAGCGCTCCTGGTGGACCAAAAGAAAATGGGGGGGAGGGGGGGGGGGCGCAGTGTTAACATCCGAGTATCATAATGTGAAGACACACTCATAGAACAAACGCATCTCTCCTCCAAACTCCAAAAGGTAGATCCCCCGCCGTGAAGGAGGCACGCGCTCACAGGGGGGCGGGGCCTCTACAAGTGAGGCGAGGGGAAAGGGTTATCAACCCTCGCCACCGGTGACAAGGACACGCCGTCATTTACACGCTCCTGCCCCCCCCCCCCCCCCCCCCGAGTTGCTGCGTACATTCCCTCCCACCGGGGCCCACTTAGCTGCCCACTGAAACCATTTCCTGGAAATGAGCTGCACGTGCAGTTCGCCTGCCGGCCACGGGGGGGAGCCAGAGAGTCACTGCTCCTCAACCATCAGTGAACATCGCAGCGCCCCTTCTGAAGCACAAATGAAGCACAAAAACAGTAACTGGGATGAGTCACAGTTGGGACACATGGTTGAGGGGGCGGAGGGGGGTTACTGGAAGAAAGACAGACGGAAACTGTGAAATGACGGCCAAATCAGTGAATCAGAGAAGAATGCAGAAGGGGTGGAGGAGTCCGATTTGACCCCCCCCCCCCCTCTCGCGGACAGGAAAGAAAACATGAGTTCCAGACTGGAGCGAGGGTCAGGTACCGGGCACAGCCTCCACCCCAATCCAGCGGAATATGATAATAATATGTACATACGTAATATGAGGAAACAGAGGCAGCAGCCACGGCGAAAGAAAAGAACAAATTCCACTCTGTGGTTACACATACTCAAATGTGAGGAGCTGCTTCCTTAAACGGACTGATCTTCTGAACAAAACCAGGACTTATAGAAATCACACGATCAACTTTACTCCACTTTACTGGCCCGTCTTTTTGGCTTTCTGGGAACGAAAACAGTGGGTTCCCTCCAATCAGGGTGAGAGTTCACAGCCTGAGAGGAGAGGGAGGGGGGGGGGTCTATCGCACACAGAGAGGCATGCGGAGGAGGAAGGAGGAAGTCATTCCACAGTCACTTGGATCTCCGTTTGATAACACACACAGGAGTCGAGTTTCTTCTTGATGTGATGACATCATCAGCACCCACACTGGACCATAACAGAACAATAAAACCTGCTGGAAACTGACCAACAATGGGACATTACCATGGAACACACATGCTGCGTAGTCATGTCGAGCGGGTTTTCCATTTGTGTTGAGGGCAGGGGGGGGGGGGGGGGGGGGGTTGCAGTAGCGGGGGCTTCAGTGGAAAGGAATCTTTGGCTAGCGCGGTATTCTTTCTAAGAATGTGCATGGTGCAAATGTGCTGCTTGGCGATAAGGGGGCGGGGCAGTGGTGAACACTTACACGACTCGCTGCGGCCGGAACCAGGAAGTGGTTTTCAGCTCAAAGTGTGAACCTGTTATTTTCTGCAATAACCCCACATGCCCTCGGCTTTTTGTTGATGCCAACTTCTGGGATCAGGCTCCGAAGAAACGTCATCTGTGCGCCGCTCTTATTTGGTCCCTGGTCTTTGGATCTAAAAGGGGCACTTTGTGGTCCCTAAGCAGCTCTCTACATGTGTTCATCCCCCGGTCAATGAGTAGAATCTGAGGAATGCGTCAATATGTAACCGGGTTCATCTGCAGGCGCTCGTGTGGATGTTTTTCAGTGAAGGCCGCTCAGGCAACTCAAGCGAGGACTTCACCTTCGGCGCGGCTCGTTCCTCTGAGCCGGCGTCACGGGAAGGCCTTGTAATAACCGAGCAATCTGTCCCTGCTCGAGTCTCTGACAAACATTTGTCTTCAGCCTCTTCCTTCGTACAGCATCAAAGAAATGATAAACGGGCCTTCCTGATAGCCCGAAAACCCCAATGAACTGTAGAACACTCTAATGACGCATACGGCAACCCTGGGTGTGTCTCAATTCATTGGGCTGCATCCTTTAAGACTTAAGTCACTTCGGCTGCGCCCCTGCGTCGGCTCCTCGGAGGACACATCTGATCCATCCTTAGCGGGCTATCGTATCCCATCATGCAGTGCGAGCCAATGAGAATTCAGACGACAGCGGGCAGAATTGCCAAATAAGCAACTTTGTTGCTAGATTCAGGAACGTTTCAGACTATCCTGGCAACAGCACCTAGCAACCCATTAAAAAAAATAGATTTGGCAGTTTTAGCAACTTTTGTAAAGTGAATCAAATGCTAAAATGCACACATTTGCCCTCTAAATGACACTAAAACAACGTGTGCCTGGCTGCAGAAGTGCGATGTGAGTGACTTCAACAGCAGGTGCTCAGCTCGTGCACAGGCAGCAGTCTGGAAAGAGATGCTTAGTGCACACACACACACACCAGTATTTTAGTTAAGTTGCTTGTTTAATAAAATGGCATATATACTTAATGTTAGAAGAATTCTCACTCGACACCGGTATAAAATCATCAAAACAAGATATTTAGTGTTTGCAAACAGGAGACAAAGCTGACACACGTCATGCGCCAAGCCTACTCAAAAGGTTTTCTTTACCAGCACCAACAGACACACCGGGATAAACAGGGAGGTCCTGCGCACGCACAATGATCTCATTGCACAAGGACCGTCATGTTCTTCATCCTGAGACACACATCTGACCATCATGAGACGCCGAGTAGTCATCTTATTCCAGCTGACATGTCATAACAACAACAAAAAAGTTTTTCCCCTACCATTATAACAGCCCCCCCCTCCCCAAAAAAGTGTACCATTTTCCCAACTACTACTACACTACCCCCCCCACCAGAAGTTGTAAACCTTGGGGAAACATTGCGACTTATTGTACAAACGATACACCCGTAGTCTTGTGCTGTGTTTTGATCATGACATAACTGCATGTTAACCAACTACCATCATAATTATTCAGTGCAGGTTTACTAGTTAATGAGAAAAAAGACGTAATTGTTCGATAACAGTTCTGCCCGTAGTAGATGTAGACAAGTTAGGAACCTGAAACATCATCACCTGCCAAGTCGGTAACATTGCAGACGTTGAGAATAAACAGACAAAGAATCTGAACCTGCTTTGCTCCTTTTGTTTCGTTTATGGCGCCAGGAGGCTGCAGGAGAACGATGTGTGTGCTCACATTGTGCCACTGTAATATCTTACGGTTACAGTATCCTACAACATGAATGAGTTAATAAATGTGTCTGCTGTTGTGTTTTTCTTTGACTGTCTTAATTGATTTCCTCTGCCTTAAGACTGCAATAGTACTTTCAGCTGAAAGTACCCAACTGATTAACTTTGAATTGACAATAACCTGAACAAGTTCTTCTCTCCGCCTGAAAGATATCATGTTACAGAGGGGAAGAGTATCTTCCTAAATAAAATGTAATAACATCAACTTCTCTGTTAGTTTTCCGGGTTTTTCTATCAGGTTGCTAGGCAACGGGAGCATTGGAGGTAAAGCTGATGACGCAAGCAGGAAGTCGTTGGGAGGACCAAGCCCAGGTCTCCGCCAAGGCCGGGCCCCGAAAGGACATCATGTTCGATGAACACAAAGAGGGAATCTTATTTTGAGTCCATCTACGACACACCTTCCTGCTGCAATAAATACTAACAGAGCACAATTGAAGAGTGTTTGTGGCTCCTCAAAGTCTTTAGTAGGAACAGCCTTTATATATAAATATAACACAGACAGCAACAAGCACACGGGAGTCTAAGTGGGCAGCGACAGACCACAGAGTGGGTGCTGGGAGGCCGGGTTGAAATATGCACGGCAGCATATTTCCTCTGAAGCACCATGATGATGACTCAACCTTTTATGAAAGTTAAAAGGTGGAATCCACCACCAGGGATGGATAAAAAAAAAAAAAAACTGCCCTACGGTAAATAATGACCTAATGTGATTAAACGGTACATCATGGAACATGAGCTAATGTTCCTCAGTCTCACCGCTGCCCATCCCTTAGCGGGAGGTCTGACATGCTGGAGGAACGTGTCTGGAGGACCGACCAGAGCGCCGCGTGCAGGTCACACACACACCTGTAAAGCAGACATGTCAACACATGTCCAGGAAACATAGAATCAAACCACGTGCACGTAGAGAGATGCAAAGGAAAGCTCCCGCTGTAGAAAGTGCACTTGTTTGGTCCTAATGGGTGTGAAAGGTTAAAGCAAACAGACACAGATTGTGTGCTGTTCAGTGCTCTTTGGACTGATGTCATATATTCTAATAATTTAATAACAGTTGATGTAGCAGCTTTAATTCGCAATAATTGATTGTATTGTTAAGGCTGTTGGGGGACTACGTTCGGCTCATTTGGTGCCGTATTCAGGGCCCCCTGATTTACCCTTCACCAGCTCACAGTGCACATGCCGAGGAGGCGCCGTGCCTTTGATACGCTCAATCTCCCCACGTCCCACCCGGCAGGTAAACCCTGTCTCCATCTTCTCGCTTTCACACGGTCACACCTTTATTTCTGTATCCGCGCTCCGCTCCCGGAGGACATCAGGTGCTAGGTAGCGGCCCGCAGAGCGCTTCAGGTCTTTTCTTTTTGCCTTCAGGTCTTTTAACTTGCTCTTTCTTCGTTAGCCACAGAGGAAAAAAAAAAGAACGAAAATAAGGATGAGGGAAGGTTTAACGGATGGATATAAAAGAGAGAGAAAGGGAAAGAGATAGTGAGGAAAGGGGGGCACAGGGAAGAGATCCTGCAGTCGGTTGCCACGGCTACTGAAAAGCTGCTGATTAGTGTGCGCGATGGTGGCGTGTCTGTGCGTGTGTAGGTGTCCGTGGCTGATATATGACCCGGTGCTCCGTGTGGAGAAGGCAGCATTTTAACGATCATTAGCTGCAGCTTCCTATTCATCAGCTCCTGTCGGTTGCTCCGATGTTGCACCATAACAAGCAGCGGATCTCCTGACCACCACAAAAATAAGGTTGGAGATGAATTGATACTCGTACATTGCACGCTTTTCAGCAACCGCATGTGTGTTCAAAGCGTCAGGCTGAGCTCTGAAAGAGTTGCAACATGTTT